CCTAGACCCTTCTTCAGAAAATCTGAAGAAGGGTCTAGGCCCGAAACGTCACTCCTGCTCCTCTGATGCTGCTTGGCCTGCTGTGTTCATCCAGCTCTACACCTTGTTATCTCAGATTGTCCAGCATCTGCAGTTCCTACTATCTCTGAAACAAAGGCCTGAGTGTCGTTTTGTAAGTCACTGCATTACCCACAAGAATTCTTCAAGGCTGGGGTCTCAGCCCAACAATCTTCAGCTTCTTCCTGCATTTCCTCTGTCGTAAGATAATGTTGGTTTACACTTCTACAGCTCTTTATACAGATATTGAAGTCACTCCTGCCTGCCTACAACAATGCCTGGACCACATCCAAGCTTTGGCAGACAAGTAGCATATTGATGTCTCTCACTGGCTATCGCAAGTTTCAGAAAAGAGTGAAATAAAAATCTTTCCCTGCTCTTTTAGCTGACAACATCCTAAGCCTCAGCACCGGCCAGAGGATTAACTGGACTGATATTACCAACAGTTTAGGTCCAGGAAGGAGACAGAAATGCTTCATCTCTGCACCTTTCAAAGACTCTCCCATCCAAAACACTCATGTCACAAGGGTCTCAGCACTTGCTTGCCTTTGTACAGCATGTTCAATTAGTAAAACATCTGAATGCACTTCATTGGAAAGTTATTAAACAAACCTGGACACCGAGCCAAGCAATGAGGTTTCAGGACACACAACCAAAACGTCTGGACGGTTTAAGGAGGGAATTCCAGAACTTTCGGTTCAGGCAGCTGAGACACAGCCACCAGTGATGGAACAATTAAAATTAGGAAATATGCAAAAGGTCAGAATTGGATTATATTAATGACTGGTGTGAAAATGCATAATGATGACATTTCCTATCTGTTATTTTAACAAGAGAACCAACCCTGAATGGGTAATTGTATTCATTAAAATAAAGAGAGGCAAAGGTACATCACACAGCGTGATTGGACCCATCTGTGTCTTGTTAACATTCGAGGCATTTCCAGACAAAACTCAGGCTGATGCGAACTTCACACAAACCAGCAGAATTTATGCTTCCTCCTCGGGCAAGTTCTAAGGTGGGGAGGGGAGGGGACGGCAGGGATTCGGGTTGGGGTTGGGAGCTGGGGGATGCCAGGTGATCAAGTGGGAAGGTGCAAGGTGGAGATCCTGCTGCCTTTCCATCGCCTTCTGGTCAAATCTAAGGAGGGAGAGCTTGCAGTGGCCTTCCCGTCCATAGCTAACTGAGGCTCCTGTGATCACTTGACAGCCTTGTCCAGCCATTGCACTGTCGGGAGACTATCCAGCAAACCACACGAAATAGGAACAGGAGTACCTCATTTGGCCTCCTCAAGACTGATCTGCCATTCGATAGGATCATGGTTGATCCAATATTTCTCACATCCATTCCATTTTCTGCCCATTCCCCATAACCCTTAATTCACCTACTAATCAAAAATCTATCTAGCTCAGCCTTACATTTACACAAGGAAGCTAGCCCGACAGCTCTCTGTGGCAAGGAGTTCTGAAGACTCACAACACCTGGACAGAAGAAATTCCTCCTCTTCTCAGTCTTAAATTGGTGCCACATTACTCTGAGATGATGTCTTTTGGTCCTAAACTCTCCCATGAGGGAAAAAATCTTCTCAGCACTTACCCTGTCAAGCCCCTCAAGAATCCTATATGTCTTAATGAGATACCCTTTCATTCTTCTAAAATCCTGTAAGTCCCAACGGTTTCACTCTTGCTCATAAGGCAAACCCTCCATACCAGGGATCATCCTCATGAAACTTCTCTGAACTGCCTTCAATGAAATGATATCTTTCCTTAAGTAAGGGACCAAAACTGCAACATTTTCACAAGTTTGCCGGTGCCAACTTGGTTGGACAGAGATCCTTAGGGGATTGACTGGGTGAATGTGGAAAGAATGTTTCCTCATGCGGGAGAATCTAGAACTAAGAGTCACTGTTTAAAAATAAGGAAGTGCCCATTAATGGCAGAGGTGAGGAAATTACTTTTATCTCAGAAGGTTATGAGCCTTTGGAACTCCCTTCCTCAAAAGGCAGTGGATGCTGATTCTTTAAATTATTTTGAGGTAGATTCTTGATGACCGAGGGAAAAAAGATTATTTGGGATAAGCAGCAATGCAGAATTGAGGTTGAAAATTAGATCAGTCATGACCTTGTTGAATGGTGGAGCAGGCTGAGGGGCTACTCTTGTTCATTGCTCATAAGAAGAACGTTCTTCTTTCATGGCACTCCATGCCTGATCAAGGGACCCAGCATTGGGAATTCACCCTCTCACCTTTGCATCTGATCCCCTCATAGGTGATCCCCTTCCCATGAACTCATCCAACTCATAGTCGTGTCGATCTTGGGATCCATGGACCATCCCAGGTGAAGTAATGCACTAGCAGTGGTCATCACACCTGGTGCCACCACCAGAACTGGAGAGCCGGCAGCTTCTGATTGTCTAGGAGATCTCTAATGTATGATTTTGGGTCTCCTGGGAGCTCAATCAAATGGGAGGCTCAACGCTGCCCAGTAAGTGCTGATTGGAACTAAATATTGTTGAAATGAGATGCAGGAGACCCCCATTACCTCAATCAAAATGCAGTTATTTGTCCTTGTCCACACAAGAGAACAGAAAATAGTTGATTGGGCTTTGTTGCCTGAGGTTGCCCAAGAATGCATTGCAACTGATGTCTCTTGCATGTGGCAGAGCATTGTGCGTAATGAGAGAGAATAAGCCCCATTGCGTTCCGAAGCAGCATCAGCTCTGATATCAATGACAACACAAGTAGAGATTCTGAAACCCAGGAACAGGGGTTTCATTACAGACACAATTGGCCACCTCTCAGGTGCAAACTGAGCACAGAATTGGGCCATCACGAAAGGACTTTTTTCCTCCAGTTTCCACTCAAAATCACTTCATATTGTTAGACAGAAGCCTGTCATGACCCAGTGCAAACAAACATCACTTTGAAATTAGTTTAAATTTACATCAGGGCTGAAGTTGCTCTATATGATTTAAAATGTAATTAGTTTTTATTTTAAATTGATTCAAAAATATCACTTGATGTGTTTATAAGCAGAAAATGTTTGGTTAGTAGAACAGAAAATGGGTTTATCACAAAAATAAAGCACTTGTAGTCACAGTGTCAATTCCTCACCTGTGATTAAAATGGTTTTAAATGACAGAAAATGACTTTCAAGAGATATACTGTCAATTTAGGGATCATAGTGATACAGTAGTCTTATAGAATCATAGATCATAGAATCCCTACAGTGTGGAAACAGGCCCTTTGGCCCAACAAGTCCACACCGAACCAGCTGGACCCATTCCCCCTGTAGCCCACCTAATCTACACATCCCTGAACACTATGGGCAATTTAGCATGGCCAATTCTCCTTCTCGGAAAATTTAAACATATTGCATTTGAAACCTTTTTTAAGTTAGGCATTGGAGCCCTTGGAATGTTTCCACTTGTAGAAGAATCTAGAACAGGTTCGAACAGAAGGTCAGTGAAACAGTGTCACCTGCTCCCACAGCCTCAGATGCATCGGTTTCCTCAGTCACCACTGTAGACGTCAGATTGGCTTTTTTGAGAGTGAACCCACAGAAAGAGACCAGCCCAAATGGAACGCCCAGCTGTGCACTCAGACCTTGGGCATTGCAGCTGGCGGGAGTATTCGCTGACATCTTTAAACTCTCCTTACTACGATCTGAAGTCCCCACCTGCTTCAAGAAGACCGCCATCCCGGTACCAAAGAAAAATCATGCAGCGTGCCTCAAATGACTACCCCCAGTGGCTCTGACCTCCACAATTATGAAGTGCTTCAAGAGGTTAGTCGTGGCTCATATCAACTCTTGCCTCCCAGCCTGCCTTGTACCAACAGGTTCAAGAACAGCTTCTTCCCCACTGTTATTAGACTGATGAATGGACCTCTCACATTTCAAATTTAATGTTGACCTTGCTCTTTGTGCACCTTCTCTGCAGCCGTAACATTGTATTCCTTGCTCCAGTCTATTGCCCTAACACACTTTGTATGGTAGGATCTGCCTGTACTACAAACAAAACAACACTGTTCACTGTACCTAGGTACATATGACAAGAATAAAAAAACAAACTAGGGGTGACTGTATACAAATAAGAGGTCACTCATTTAAAACTGGGATGAGGAGAGATTATTGCTCAAAAAAGATTGAGTGTGTTTGGAACTCTGTTTCTCAAAAAGGCAGTGGAAGAGGATTCCTTGAACAATTTGAAGGCAGAGGTAGATAGATTATTAATAAGCAAAGTGTCTGAAAGGTTATTGGAAGTGAGCAGGAATGTATAGTAATTAGATCAACAATGATCTTAGTGAATAGTGAAGCAGGTCCAAGGACCAACTGGCCCATTCCTGCTCCTAATTTGATTGTTAGTAAGCGTCCAAAAGTTCCACCTTCATTTTTAGAGGCTCCTCCAAAAGCAAACAAGTTGGGGCTGTCAGCAGAAACTTAGAGCATCATTGAGCACGGAAACAGACCCTTCGGTCAAACTCAGCCATGCTGAATAGATATCCTAAACTGATCTAGTCTCATTTGCCAGCAATTAGCCCATATGTTTGGAACCTAAACATAAACTCTTCCTATTCATGTACCTCTCCAGATGCCTGTTAATTTTCCTGCTGTACAAACAATGCTGTCAAACTTGAGAGGATGCAGAAAAGATTTACAAGGATGTTGCCGGGACTGGAAGGTTTGAGCTATAGGGTGAGGCTGATTAGGCTGGGGCTATTTTCTCTGGAGCATCGGAGGCTGAGGGGTGATCTTAAAGAGGTTTATAAAATCATGAAGGGCGCGGAGAGGGTGAATAGTCAAGGGTAGGGGAGCCCAAAACTAGAGGGGATAGGTTTAAGGTGAGAAGGTAAAGATTTAAAAGGGACCTGAGGGGCAACCTTTTCATGCAGAGGGCGGTGTGCGTATGGAACATAGCTGCCAGAGGAAGAGGAAGCTGGTACAATTACGACGTTTAATTTCAAGCAAACAGTAAAGACAAAAAAACTCAACTGTGGGTCAACTCAATTCCATGATGTCTCCACCAGAAGGTCATAATTGTGAGTCCTCTGCAAAGGATAGCAAGCTTTATTATCAGATGCCTATGCAGCCTCCTCTCTCCTTTTAATCACAATACTTCTTTTAAAAATAAATGCACAAGACAAATGTCATGTTCACATCAGAATTTTAATGCTTTAGCTGAAATGACTACTTCAGTTTAGTTATTCAGATTAGACAGAAAACATCTTTAAACATGGTATATTTTGACCTGGCCTCCAAATAGAGTGAGCAGATAATTGTGCACATAATCAATTTTGAAAAATACTTAATTATCATTAAATTCAAGTACTGATTATCTCCTTTTAGAAGTATATATTGCAGCAGCTGATTATAATTTCAGATAGCCCCAATTGTTTAATTTGATGTAATATCTTCATGTTTATACCTTAAAGTTTGATCATACTGATGGCTTCTGTTGTGTAAATTCTGTATCTGACAATACCCCTGCAAAGTCCCTTAAAGCCTCTAATTCAAAATCAATGAAAGCATTTTTGCCTTTCAGCCATGGGATTTGCTCCAGCTGAGTAACCACTTTAAGCGATTGATCCAAAAGTTGATGAGCCAATTCAAAATCATGCTTCTTCATTTTACTGAGAGATTGCAAAATCAGCTTCAGATTGGAAAGGTTTTCCTCCAGCTTATAAAACATTTGCACAAAGTGATTAATTTGGTTAAATTCTTTCCATTTGGAATTTTGCTCACTTAATTCATTTCTCATTGAAGATGATTTGTCTGGTTCAGTATTGCTAGCCACATCTCCTGACAGCCGACCCTTCAGATCCTGAAGAGCACTGTTGCTGAGGTTTAAAATCTTCAACAAGATTCTCTCACTCATCAGAAGGTCCTCCTTTTTATCCACTGTGAGCATTTTTGGTGCTACAGCTATCACTTCATTCAGCTTTGCAAAAAGTTTGGAAAACTTCTGTCCATGTCCATGCAGATAGTTCGTATTTATCATTTCCACTCTCTCAGCTAATGAAGCATTTTTCAAAAACTGGTTAATCACCTTCACTACCTGAGCAGGTAAGAATTTGGTTTCAGACTCTCCCACAGAGGCATTACTTTCAGAAACACTTTCCATCACAACTAGTTTTGTCAGATTTTTACTCTCGGCCTGTGACTTATTTGCATCTGTGCTTCCCTTGTTTGAAACTCCACTTGTTGGCTGGGCCTTTCTGATGGATGAGACTGTCACAATGTCTTCCAGAAGCAGAGGAACCGAAGTTTCATTATTCATTATCTTCAGTAGCTCCGCTTCATGATATATCTTCTCCAACATACTGTTAATTTCAGAAAGTTCAGCAGAATTTGTTTTGATTCCCTGTCCATCTTTATCCACAACTGCAATTCCTACAGTACTGCTTGACTTCTCCACAGGAGTGTCCCTCAATAATTTGACCAAAGTCTTGAAAATCCTTGGAGAAAGTTCTATCAGTTCACTCCGATTCCGCAGATCCTTGTCATTCAACATTTGGTCTAGCAGAAACATCAACAATTTATTTTTTATTAATTACACATTTCGTTTAAGAAAAAGATTTACATTAATAATTTTCAACAAAATCACAACCAGACTTTCATTAATACCGTTATTTGGCTATCAACATTATGGAGTGTATTAACACTAAATACTTGCATTTATATAGCAAATTTAACATAGTGAAACTTCAGAAGGCAGTCCTTTCACAAAACTCCAGAACATAAAGGCATTATCTCAGGACAAAGTGCAATCCATTTAGGACTGAGATGAAGAGGAACTTCTTCACTCAGAGGCTGGTAAATCTTTGGAATTCTCGACCCCCTTGAGTGCTATGGAGGCGCAATCATTGAGATTCCAGATGTAAATCAATATGTTTATGCATATTAATGACAAGAAGGAATGTGAAATTCAGATGGGTTGAATGGTCTACTTCTGCTCCTGCGTGCACAGTATTATCAGGAAAAACATGGTGCTGGACTCATAAGGAGATGCTAGGACAAGTAGCCAAAAGCTTGGCTAATGAGGAATTTTTAAAGGAACATCATATAGGAGATATAGAGAGAGTGAAGGGACAAAAAGGTTGAGGGAGGGAATTCAGTGCATAGCACCTGAGTGCCTGAAAGCACAACTGGCAGCAATGAAATTAAAACTGCATGAAAGGCATGGAGGAACACCTGGAGGATTCCAGGGCTGAAGGAGGCTATGGAGATCAGCAATATATGAATAACGATCATAAATTCCAGGTATTGTTGGCCTAAAAATCCAGTGTGGGTCAGCTGGCAGATAGGTGAACAAGATCTGGGTGTGATTTAGGATTAAGGCTGCTGTGTTTTGGATTAGGTCAAGTTTAAGGATAGTGAGAGGCTTGCCAGTTGTGAGGTACGTGGGGTTATTGCAAGAGTGCGGCATTGTAAAAATTTAGTTAACATTCCAGAAATGAGAATAGTTGTTCATGAATGAAGTAACTGCACAGAGGCTGGTATTCCATCATCAAATCACCCTTTATTTACTTGCACACAGTACACTGCCTGTGGCCAGCCAGCTTGGAGTCAGTTCCCTGAACTGAAGAGATTCTAAATCCCCTGTTTTTTTTTTACTTAATCTACTTTTCGAATCAACCTGTTCATAGCTGTTATTACGTACCTCTGGAGTTGGTGGGACTTGAACCTGGGCCTCTTGGTCCAGCAGTAGGGACTCAACCTTGCACTATAAAAGCCCCTATGTCAGCCAGGGCTTCCTGATTGACCCAGGTTAACAACCCCAATCAAGGATGTCATTGTTAACAAGCTCCACCTACTTTCAATCACTACAGTGACCATCATCATTCAGTCATTCTTATTACAATGTGCTTTTTTTTATACTGTGTCATTCTAACAAGTATAGAAATTAAAAGCCTTGCCTCTTTGTTCGCTAAAATCACTTATAGCATCAATCAACGCCATCTCAAACATCGTTGCTGACATATTAATATCCTGGTAAAGATAAAACAAGTTTTAAAAATTAAAGATACTTTCCAACATCTGGCTCATATTCAAAATTCAGAATAGACTAGCAGAAGGAAGTTTACAAAACAGCATTAAAATCTCTTCAAAAATATACTATGCATAGATATTCGCTGAATGTTCTATAATATTCCAGTGACTGGAACAGAGGCATTAACCTGTGGATTATTATATATTTAATTGAATTTACAGTTTGGAAAGAGTCCATTTGGTTCAACATGCCTGTCCCAGTGTTTACGTTCCATACGAAAGTTCTGCCCAACAATTTTGTCTCACTCCACCCTTGTAGCCTTCTATTCCTTTCTCTCTCATGGACTTTTCCAACTTCTCAGTAAATGCACCTGTACTATTCCCATCAATTACTCTCTGTGATAGCAAGTGCCCAATTCTAAAGTGAGCCCTGTTTAGTAAAATTTCAAGTGCAACAGAGTGAATTTGTACATCAGTTTTGGATTGTGATAGTTAAAGGTAGGATGTCTTGTTTGACATCTCAATGGTTGGTGCACAAGTGGCTGTGGTCACTAAAATGACCACCTCTTTCAAAGTAACCAGACAGAAACTGAGAAGACACTACATAGCCAATTCAAGGACTATTCATGCACCAATAAGCAAATTATAGTTCAGTGTGCCTCTGATTATGCTCAGGGCAGTGGCTAGCAAGGGTTAAAAGTGACTATTTTTAATGCACAAGAAGGCAGACTGAAGATAGAAAGAGAACTTCACTCAACAGAAGATAAAAAAGAAACCAGTGCTCTGTCAATCAAACTGCAATCCCAAAGCAGAACAACTAGAATTATAGAGTTATACAGCATTGACACAGAAACTTCGGTCGAACTCATCCATGCCGACCGGATATCCTAAATTATTCTAGTCCCATTTGCCAGGATTTGGCCCACATCCATCTAAACTCTTTCCATTCATGTACCCATCCAGGTGTCTTTTAAATGTTGTAATTGTACCAGCCTCCACCACTTCCTCTGGCAGCTCATTCCATACACACACCACCTTCTCCATGAAAAATTTGCCCCTTAGGTCCCTTTTAAATCTTTCCCCTCTCACCTTAAACCTTTGTCCTCTAGTTTTGGACTGCCTCAGCCCAGGGAGAAGACCTTGGTTATTCACCCTATCCATGCTCCTCATGATTACATAAACCTCTATAAGGACGGTCCAGGAAAAATAGCTCCAGCCTATTCAGCCTCTCCCTACAGCTCAAACCCTCCAACTCCAGCAACATCCTTGTAAATCTTTTCTGAACCCTTTCAAGTTTCACAACATCCTTCCTTTAGCAGGGAGACCAGACTTGCACACAGTATTCCAAAAGTGGCCCTAACCAATGTCCTGTACAGCTACAACATGACCTCCCAACTCCTATACTCAATACACTGACCAATAAAGGCAAGCGTACCAAATGCCTTCTTCACTATCCTGTCTACCTGAGATTCCACTTTCAAGGAAATAAGAACTGCACTCCAAGGTCTCTTTGTTCAGCAACACTCCCCAGGACCTTACCAATAAGTATATAAGTTCTGCCCTGATTTGCCTTTCCAAAATGCAGCACCTCACATTTATCTAAGTTAAACTCCATCTGCCACTCCTCGGCCAATTTGCCCATCTGATCAAGATCCCATTGTACTCTGAGGTAACCTTCCTCACTGTCCACTACACCTCCAATTTTGGTGTCATCTGAAAACTTACAAACCATACCTCCTACGGTCTCATCCAAATCATTTACATCAATGACAAAAAGCAGTGGACCCAGCACTGATCCTTGTGACACACCGCTGCTCAGAGGCCTTCAGTCTGAAAAGCAACCCTCCACCGTCACCCTCTCTCTTCAACTTTCGAGCCAGTTCTGTATCCAAATGGCTAGTCATCCCTGTATTCTGTGTGCTCTAACCTTGCTAACCAGTCTATCATGAGGAACCTTGTTAAATGTTACTGAAATCCATATAGATCGTATCCATTGGTCTGCCCTCATCAATCCTCTTCACTACTTCTTCATAAATGCAATCAAGTTAGTGAGACATAATTTCCCAAACACATGTTGACTATCCCTAATCAGTCCTTGCCTTTCCAAATACAAGTAAATCCTGTCCCTCAGGACTCCCTCCAACAACTTTCCCACCACTAATGTAAAAACCATTAGTTTTATTAAGTATTATTTAGCTTGTACTTATGGTAAACTTAATAAATTCTGTAAAACATCTGTATATAATAGTACCTGGAATGGGTCTTGTAACTAATTATAACTAGTAAACCTTTAGATTGGCTCTCTCAGACTGTCAATAATTGTAACTGACTTAGGTCTTATAATTAAAGTTAATCTGAACACTAAAATCTTACAGTTATAACTTCAGCTCTGAACTTAGACAGAATGATGGATGACTGCCAGGAAGAAAAATCTTTTCATAGCTGCCCGCTGTTGTCATCTTTTTAGTGTTTACTTAATGCCACTAATTAGCTGGCTTAATTAGCTTATAGTGCCCGCATACAGCAACCATGATGAGGTTTTTGGTTTTCTGCATGTTAGTCAGAGTAACATATACCACAGCGAGTCAGGTTCGTGTTAAGACAGACGTCCTGAAGTTTATTAATGGTAGCTTCTCATTCTTTTGCAAATTGATCTGTTTCCTCTGACCTTTGAGCTGTGCATTTGTATCATGCTTAGATTTTTGCTACAAGCTTCTTACTTTTAGTAAGATAGGGTGACAGGAAAGTTATTCCACTGACTGGAATTTCATCTTCAATAGGTTAATTGTTACTTATCCCATTTTTATTTATCGGATCTTCATCAGGAAGCAAATCCCATTAAAGTCACCAAACTGCTACAAAAACTCCCATAAGAACTGCGGATGCTGTAAGTCAGAAACAAAAACAGAAATTGCTGGAAAAGCTCAGCAGGTGTGGCAGCATCTGTGAAAAGAAATCAGAGTTAACGTTTCAGGTCCAGTGACCCTTCCTCAGAACATAGTACTCAACTGGTAACTCTACAATTACTCAACTGGTTCACTCAGACCCATATTAAGTGCTCGATACTTGGAAGGCTGATTTTTTCTTGTTGCAGTGTTTAATTGCCCTGGAGTTTATGGAAGGATGACCTCGTGCAGACACAAGCCCACAGCCAACAAGGAATGTTGTTAGGCGGTAATTATCTATAACCCTATCACCTCAACCTGTCCTGTTGGACACCTTGTACAAAGGTCCCCCAAGATGCTGACAGTGAGACTTATAGCAGTGCTTTGTTCAGAGTGGAGTACAGCAACCAGTATGATCTGTTAAAAAGGTTCCCAGTGTAAAAGCCTGAAAGGGAAAAGATCTGGAGCACGCTGATGACCTGGGACAACAAAATCAAGCTTAACAACTGGTGTAACTTTGGGGGAAACTCATCATCCCTTTCATATCCTCTGAAGTGACCTAAAGGCCCCCTCAATTATAAAGGTGATTGCTAGTCCAACATCTCATACTTAGCTTTTATTTTATTCATTCAAGGGATGAGGCCAGACAGCATTTATTGCCCATCCCTGATTGCCCAGAGGGCAACTCAGAGTCAACCACATTGCTGTGGGTCCAAATTACACGCAAGCCAGACCGGGTAAGTACAACAGTTCCTTTCCCTAAAGGACATTAGTGAGTCAGATGGGGTTTTCCTGACAATGGAGTTATGGTCATCATTAGACTCCTAATTCCAGATTTTTCTTCACTTCAAATTCCACCATCTGCCGTGATGGATTTGAACTTGGGTCTACTGAAACATTTATCTAGTTCTCTGGATTAACAGTCCAGTTGGGGTGGGGGTGGGGAATAATAATACCTATACCATCACCTCCCCATTTTAGCAGAAACTCTGAAATAAATGACAGTTAGAATCATGGTTCAGCAAGGAGCATCAAGTTATCAACATGATCACAGGTTTGGCTGTTCTGAGTGAAGTGCAGTCTAAGAAATCATGAGTTATTTAAGACGTATTTTCCTCTGATTGTTATTGTCTCTGGGAATCTTTTCTTTCGCATTTAGCTTGTATATCCAACTAAACCAGGTTGGGCAAGAAGTGGAACCTTCGCAGTGTCACTCAAATCATGAGAAAAAATGAGAAAAACACTCATAAGTTATTAATTGCATGTGAGACATATTTTGGATATCTAGGAGCAATGTTAAATAAATGTAAATATCCATTTACACTGCACTACATATTCCCAACCCTTCCCATATCCCTGCTGCACTGAAATTCAACTTCATTATAACAACTGCTACTCTAAACCAATCCCACTCGTCACCTCAAACTATAAAGTTCCATACATTTCTCAGTTTTGTCACAATCTATAGATCATTAAAACCCATGAAGGAAACACAGATGGAGGGTCCTTTTTAAATTGAGAAAGCCAAATTCATTTAATGGTTACAGAGCACGGCACTATCAGAATTCAAATATTGCAAATCAGCTGTGCTTGGCGATGATGATCAACATTCTCAGGGCTTGGTCTGCCAATGTTTAATCACAGACAAAAATCAGCATGGACTAGGATCTGTCTTCCCTCAATGAAACTACTTGGTCCTGTCACTGTTAAACGCAGTCCTCATCAATGTTTATCCCTTAATCACAGTAATAACTCAGGAAGCCCAAATGGAAAGCAACACTATTTATTGGGAACACCAAAATGGAACCA